TGGTAATCTGAGCAACAAATTTGATGATAAGAATACAAAATACAATGGTCATTGTTAATTCTCTATTCTTGTCTTGAAATTCTGTACTATTTGTATTGTTATACATTGCTTTGCTTTTTAAACTTGTTTTTGTTTTTGTGTTTGTTTTTTCTCTTTAAAATAAGAAACAAATAAATTAAACAAAAATAAAAACAAACTCACAATGTAGCCATGCCTGTCCTCAAACTCATGATCCTCCTGCCTCAGCCTCCTGAGTTTTGAAATTACAGGTGTACACCATCATGTCTGGTTCATTTATTTATTGTTGAGTAGAAAAACTTCTTGTAAATGTTAATAAGTTTAATTTGCACAACTGACACATGTATATTCACAATTTTCATATATGTATATTCATGTGGTCTACAATAAATTGAAGCATTTTTTCTAGCTTCAAAGCATCTAAAAGTTAACCAAAGCACAGAGGCTGGGGTTCGATCCTGGCGTGTGGTGCTGGCCCCATCCCCAGGGAACACTGAGACAGCAATTGAGACAGAGCATGGTGGCATGTGCCTGTAATCCCAGGACTTGGGAGGTTAAAAACAGGAGAATCACTAGGAGTCTGATCTACATAGTGAGACCCTGTAGACCATGTACTGAATACATTAAAAAAAAGAAATTAAAAAAAACTTAACCAAAATTGAATTTGTTAATCGAAATGAATGTAAAAGAATCATAACAAACAAGATATATAAACAGCAGTTAGAAAGTATGAAGCAAGCCCAAACACCTCCTTAGGTGAAAGTACATATAATAATCCAACCAATTTGGCTTGCTGTTTCAAATGAAACATAATGATGGTGGTAGTCAAAGAGAAATCGTCCACCGAGTTCTCCTTAGAAGACTTAGATGGGATCATCATTATAATAACGCCCTAAACAACAGTATATGTCTTCCAGATTTGCCTACAAATATGGTTTGGCCAATATGGCTTTAAGACTGCATGTTGGGGCTGGTGAGATGGCTCAGGGGCTGGTGAGATGGCTCAGTGGTCTAAAGCACCTACTTAGAACAAGCTTAGCAAAGCACAGGGACCACGGTTCAATCCCCCAGCACCACATGCCAGCCAGCCCCGCCCCCTGGTGGGCTGAGCTGGCCACACACACACACACACACACACACACAAATAAATAAAAAAAATAAAAAAAAAAGACTGCATGTTGGCAGAGATATGCAAAGCAGTCTTTAGATGACATTCATGCCTCAGACTAGGGGGTGTGCGTAAAGAGCAGCGTTTGAAAAACACATCTGAGTTTGGGGAAATTTCTAAATGCCCCTATGAGCTTCTTGTTGCTATGCTTCAATACCCAAGAAAAACAATGTACAAGAGGAAAGATTTACTCGGGCTCACACTTGCACATGTTTCAGGCTGTAGTTGGCTGCTTTCACGCTGTGGGCCTGAGCTGAGCCAGAACACGGTGGAGGAAGGGTGTGGTGGGACCAAACAGGTCACTTTGTAGCTGAAAAGCACATGGTGGGGTAAGAGCCAGAGAGTGTGAAGTTGGGGGCCAGATATAATCCCCAAGGCTATGTACCACGATCTACTCCCTCCAACCAGGCACTGCCTCCGGGTTCCATCACCTCCCAATAATGCCATCAAATTATAATCTCATCAATTATAACCTACCAGTGAGAGTCCTTGTGACCCAAATGTGTCCGACAATACACCCCCCAACACCCAGCAGTGTCCTGTACTGAATTCCTAGGTGTTTGTCAATACGATGAAGTTGAAGATCAGATTAAACATCAGAATTCCTCAGACTAAATTCTGTCTTCATTATTTCTCCACATGAAAAAAAAAACTGTTATCTATTTTATTCTAATGTTTGAAAAATTTTGTTTTGATTATTTACAAGATACAGTGTGAGGTTTTGATATATATAATACACAGTTTATGTATTTTATCAAATCAGATACTGTAATAATCATATCGGGGTGCTTAGCATACATCTGTCACCTCATTCATCATTTCTTTGTGGTTAGAACATTCAACATTTTCCAACTATTTAAAAATATTTGGTACAGCTTTTATATGTAGTTTGTACATTGAGGTATAGGTTTTATCCGATATTTTGTTTTCTATTTTAAAAATTATTTATTGCAACTTTGATCCCCACTACAATAATTTTGTCAGTATGTTTGCCATACACACTGATTACATTAAGCTTAGGATCTGATACATGTACAGATCACATCTTGGTCAGTTTTACTTCCTTCTCCCTCCATCCTTATGTCCCCTTCCTATCTACAGAGTCTACTTTTCTGTTCTATAGCATGGCTTTTTTATTTTGCTCTTTAAATTACTTTGGGTATTTTATATTAGAGAAACCATAGGGTATTTCACTTTCTGTGACTGATTTATTTCATTTAGAATTTTGGTCTCAAGATCCAGCTGTTTTCTCCCAATGACTCCAAGTTTTGATCTACACTTGGATACTCTGCTCACTTCATGTACGCATCTATTTTCATTCTGTCCCACATCACTTTTTCTTATGTGCAAACATTAACAAATGAGATTTTCTTTCTTTCTGTTTTCTTTTTAAACAAATGAGATTTTTAAAGCAGAAAAAGAAGTCTGTGTGTGGTGGCCTTATAAATTGGTAAATTTGACATTGGCTCTGAAAATGCATAAATCTGATTATAACTTAAATTAATAATTTAAGTACTCAATTAATAATTTAAGTTTAAATACCTAAGCTTGAATGAAGACAAGAGGAGATGTATTTGTTACATTTACAGATAAGTTCAAAGTGATCCTTAATGTTTCTTTATCTAAAATTATGTCTGAAAACAAAGATGAAATTTAATATAGATAAAGGATAAGTGATGTTTTAACATATAGAATCATGGAAGCATAGACTATGTAAGGTAGAAGATATGTGTTGTAGGTACAGTTTATAAGGGAAAATAATTAATACAGGTCACATAATTTATAGGATTATTTTATGGTATTCATCCAAAGAGTCAAATGCAAAACAGTGTGAGAGATCTGTTCACACACTAGTGACCCAAAGAATCCTACATCCCAAGCAAGTGTCCTCCAGAAGTCCAGCTGAATACCTAGAGCCCATAGCAATGCCCTCCACAAGTCTGGCTGGAGGCTTAGAGCCCATGACAATGTCTTATGCAAGCCTGTTTCAGGATCTGTGATGGGAAGGCCCAAAGCACAGTGGTGCAAGGTAGAAAGTCTGCACCAGCTGGGTGAACGGTCGGAGCCAGCCAGCTAAGGGCTCTGCACTAGAGCCTGGAAGAAATGCTCACAGTAAGGGTCAGAACTCCCCCCAAAGAGCTACAGCTGTCACCCATGACATGGATGACCTGAGCTCCTCTGAAGTACAGCTGAGTGCGTATCAGCAAAGCCAGCACGACAAGTTTCTCCACGAGAATCAACAACACACCACCATCTCCTCCAGTTCTCCTTTTATGTTTTTGGCAATACTCCTCAGGTGGGCCTTGCACACCCAGGACCACGCTGATTGGGTTCAGATGGGTGTTACAAGTTGACCATTTGTTAATTCCCCACAATATGTTTTAACTTTACTCCAGAGGAAACGGACTCGTGTGTTTTACTTGACTCTAGGCAGTATGCTTGCTAGAAGAATAACTTAATGCAGGTTTAGTGTGCCTAACTATAAGAGTTTCTTAGATCAAAAGGGCCACTGATGACTTAAGACTTAGTTTTCTGCCCATTGTATTAGAAAGTTGTAATCTGCTCTGAGCTCACAAGTTAGGGAGAAGAGTGGAAAGTCAAAGAAGGTGAGGAAGGAGTGGGTACTAGCGTACACTATGTCATTTGAGAAGCAATGGAAGGAAAAACATTGAAGTAATTAGATCTTCTGGTGGTTACTTTATAGTTTGATTCTTCTATTTCAAGGCTTGCAGTGTCTCTAAGAAATACAATTTATTTTGTGTGACTCCTAGGACAGAAAGAAGAATGTAGAATAAGTTAAGGGAAACTGATTTGCACTCAGAAGTCAAATGATACAGGGTTTAGATTGAAGCAGAGCTGGATTTTAATTCAGACATTAGAATTGGCTTGGCCAGCAATAAACCTCTGAGCTTCAGTTTCTTAATGTGCTAAATTAAGAAAATGTGCTAATGGGCTTAATAAGACCCATTTCATTTTATGGGTTGGTAATGTATGTAAATTGCATAGCTCCTGGCATATGAAAATAAATATCCAACAAATAATTATGGTTATACATGCTATTGATAAAAACAAACGCATAGTGGTCCGGTGGAAATAGAAAAGAGGAGGGATCGTGTTTAACCTAGGATTAATGGCTACTTTCTCCCCCTCTGTCATGTCCTAACATCTCATGTCCCTTTTATTTGCCTTACAAAGCAGCTAGGGCCAATATTTTAACCAGGTTTCATTTACAGTCTTGACTTCTGGAAGTCATCTGATTTGGAAGTTAGAAGGCAGCCGGTGTGACAATGCCTATTGTTTACTAGCAAGAAATGACAATGTTCAGGAGTGGACAGAATTCTCATTTGTGACTCAGGGAGTTACTTAGGGAGGAGGTGAAGGTTAGGAAGGTTGATTAGGAGATCAGTGACAAAACTGGAAAAAACAGAACAGAACAGAGCAAAACAAAAACACTAATTAAACTACCATTCACTACTTTAAACTATACCAGGCTCTTGGCAAGAATCACAAGAGAGGGATCCTGGGCAGCCGTGTGGGGCGGGTCTGGGCTTGCTGACCTAGGCTAGAGACCAGCAGTTTGGAGACTTAGGGACCCACGCAGACCCTCGGGCACCAGGTTCACAGCCGGGTGTAGGAGACAGAATAGAAAAGAGGAAAGCTCTCCGTGGAGGAAAATAGGTCAGAGAGCCTGAGAACGCAGACAAAGGTATCTGTTCCTTGCGCAGCTGGCCGCTGGCCCTGAGCAGCAGGGCCCGGGGCTGTGTGGCCCGGGGCGCCCACTTAGCCCAGGGCTAGCCGCCCCACAGTTCCTCAGCTCTTCCCGAGTTTCCGGGCTGCTCGTCGGTCCTGCTGGGGCACTTCTGGAGACCCGTCGGCGGCTCGACACCTTCGCGCGACTTTGATCTTGGCTTTGCTAACTCGTCGCAGCGTCCCGCCTCCTGTCCCCTCCTCCCGCGGGTCTCCCACCCCCGCTGGCCCCTGCGCGGCTCGCAGCCCCAGGGTCGACCAGAACTCCGCGGCGCGGCTGCCCGCAAGACCCGGAGCCCGGAGTCGCCTCCCGTCCGCTTGCTCGTGGCGCCGCTCTGGGCATGCGCGGCGCGGCTGGAGGTGGCCGCGAGCGGGCTGCAGCTCCAGACTTCGCGGCAGCGGAGCTCGGCGGTGTCGCCAGGGCGCGAGGAGGGCAGGCGGGCGGGCGGGCGGGCGGGCACGGTGCTCGCCCGGGACAGCCCTTCTTCCAGCGAGCGGGACTTCGCGGCAGCTCTGAGCTCGGCCCGGGATCCGGAGGGCGCGGGCCAGGTGGGGTCCCCCTCCTGCCGCCGCCCCAGCGCCCGGCTCGCGGCGCCCCGGGGACCCGAGGTAAGAGCCGGCGGCGCGGGGTCGGGGAGGGGACCCCTGGGCTCCACAGACCGCCTTTGTGTGCCGAGGCGGAGCGGAGCCGGACGCTGCCTGCGCTCCGCCCGCCTGCAACTGGTGGCGGCGGCCAGGTGTGCGCGGCGCTGCCGCCCGGGCCGCATCCCAGAGCGCCGGGCAGGGTGCGATCGCGGGGTCCCCGGACCTCCCGGGCCCCGGGGCGTCGCGCGACCACCTGCGCTGCCTGCTCCCCCGGGCGGCCACAGAGCGAGCGGTCCCCTCTCCGCTTTTGTTGCCCTAGAGCTGCGTTTGCAGGGCCACTGTCCGGCCCCACCCCAAGTTGGGGTTCTCCCTTCTAAGTGACCGGCAGGACAGGGTCCCGCCGTTCTGTAACCCACCCCAAGGAGAGAGCTCGTTGCTTGACAATAGGCGTCAGATCTTAACGGTTGTTGACCCGGCTTTCGCAGCTCGCCCCGCTCCACTCGCACCATTTTACTTTGGAGAAGATGGCTTTCCTCGGGTCGCGGGTAGCTCACGCGTGGAGAGTGGGGTTCCCCACCCATGAGGACCCTCCTCTACCTCGCGGGCTCCCACTCCGCACTTTCCGTCGAGGACTACCTGTCTGCAGGTTCTCTGCCTCGATTGTGCTGGCACCCAGAACCTCCTTTTCCTGTGGCACCCACAGTGCGGCTCCCTGAGTCTCACGGGGTGGGAGTGAGGGGGGGCGCGGACACCGTGTGTTAAAATTTGAAATCCGCAGACATCTATAGCGTCCAAGCGTTAGGGACGGGAATCCTCCCTTCCCAATAGGTTCCAATGAAATGCATTAGTGCCTTTTCTTCTAAAGGCTCCAGTTTTTGCCTCTGATCATAAGAGGAATAGCAAAAATAGCGAATGTCTTAGGAATGAGTTCAAATAAAACTTGGTTTCCGGGGTGTGACTAGTTTGACTTTGGGCTTGTCATTTTTGGGGAGATAGAAGAATTGGGGGTTTCTCACAGTAAACAAGAACAACTGCAAAGTAAATGTGTTGTGTGTCGTTTCTAAATCATTTACACCGAAAGGCGACCATTCCACAGCTCCGTGGGGTTTGGAAAGCTAGATCATGTGGTAATTTAGTGAGTCTACTGAAATTAACAGTCAATGCCATCATCTGTCAGCTAGGGTAGATGTTCTCTTTGGGATTGGAAGTTTCTGGATTAATTACAATAGTTCTTAAATTGCTGGTGTCAAAAATTTTTTGTCATAGATTCACACTTACTCTTCATATATGACCTTGCCATATGAAAGGTAGAACAGAATGTTTCACAAATATAGTGTGTTCCTGGAGTGCTTTGAGTGTGGTTGAGTGCTTGGTGAAATTCCACAAGTTATTCACTTCACAACAGGAAAAAAGGAAGAAAGAACTATGCCTTTAATTCTGTTCTGAGATAACCACTGTTTACAGTACTTAGTGTATTTGGCTTGTAACTTTTATTACTTCCCAATATCACTAAATATTACCATAGAGTAGTTTGTGGACGATTATAGACAGCAGGCAATACTTTAAATGAAGTGATAGAATCGTGTTTCTTTTGTTCTGTCTGGAACGCGAATGTTTAGTTTTGAACACTTTGTGATTAAAGGTAAAGATTCATCTTGTTTTTATTTCTCCTGTTTTCCTGCTTTGAAGTTTTTCTCTATGCTGATGGTTCATGAGACCTTGATCCTTTGCTGTCCTATGGTGAGGGTCTGTTACTATCTGCTTTTGTTATCATTTGGTACATTTCAAAGCCTAGCTCCTTTTTTGTTAATATTGTTCCATGTCCATTCCACCACTGCTTTCTGTTCTTCCCTCAGTCTCTTTTCTTCATTTACCTATTTTAATTGTGCATCAGCTCAGTCAAACAAGTTTTAAATAAGAAAAAGCAGGATCCTGAAGAGAAAAATGGCTTTATGACAAATTCTATCTTTACTTGCTTGACATTTTATCGGATGAGTATTTTAGCCATAAAGTGACTTATATGAAGTTTAGCTTATCTTTTCTGAATCCTATTAAACATGTTTTGTAATTTTGATTTTTGATCAGCACAAAACAGCCTCAATTAACAATAGCTTCTAAACTTTCAGACATCTGCAGAAGTATGTAAGGGGGAAATGGAACTTTAGTTGAAGCACTCTGGCTATAGTACATCTCTGCTGGGAATTATTGCATGAAATTATTTGCAGCTGTTAGTGATCGAAAACTACTTCCTTAAGAAAAATTCTGTAGTGGAACAGTTGCAAACATTTCAAAGTGAACATATGGACAGAGTGGTGGTTCTCTGCAACCACTACACTGCAACGCCTTCAGTGTTTCCTGGATACATGTCTAAATGGGATTTTAAAAAGTAAACTGTATTTTTGTAGAACAGTTTTAGATTTACAGACAAAACACAGAAATAGCGCAGTAACTTCCTATGTAGGCCTGCACTGTTTCTCCCTCTGTGACATCTCCTATTAGTATTTGTTACGGATAACGAATCAGTGTTGGTACATTACTAGTCATACTTTATATTTCCTTACTGTTTTTGGAGTTGAACTCAGGGCCCCTCATGTGCTGGGCAGTCGCTCTGAGTTATATCCTGGTCTCTTCCTTAGTTGTGGTCTGATGTCCACCCCTCCCCCCCCCCCCATTTCAGGATCTTGATGTCCAGGATAACATTAAGTTTAGTTATCATGTCTCTTAGGTTCCTCTTGGCAGGAAAGTTTCTCAGATGTTCCTTGTGTTTGATGAGGTTAAGAGTTGTGAGGAGTCCTGGTCATGTCTTTTGTGGAAGACCTTTCTTTTCCAATTGACTTAGTGTTTTTCTCATGCTAAGGCTGTGACTGTGGGTTTTGGGGAGGGAGATTTCAGAGATAAAGTTCATTTTTCACCCTATATACAGGGCACGTGATCATACCTAGTAAAAACCCTTATGAAGGAGATCACATCTACATACTTACTGTGATTACTTACCTCGCTGAGGTAGTGTTTGTTAGTTATCCACTTTTTAAACCTTTTTTTTGTTATGAATGTTTAAATTAAAATTATTACAGTAAAAGACACATTGCCATGAATCATCCACACAATACTCCCATTTTGCTTTGAATGTAGTCATCTCACTGTTCTGACCACTTTCTGAAGCAATTCTGGAAGCCCTTTTTAGTTGTGCCTTACGGCTGCTTTGATGTTCTGAGTTGATTCAGAAGATTTCTCTGTCATGGCCATTTTGCTATGGGTAGGCTGAACTACGAAGTCTTGCTATGTAGTTCAGCATAGCCTTGAAATTTAATAGCCTGGGTTGGACTCGTAGCAAGCCTCCTGCCTCAGTCTCCTGAGCACTGGAATTACATGAGTGCACCACAATGCCCAGGTGTTCCTCAGATTTTTTTCTACTGCAAAGTTCCTCAGTCATTCCCCTTGTACTCTTGGAAGTCACTGTGTATAACTCCTACTTTAGGAGTAGAAAATTATGTTCCCTCATCCCATCCCCCACCCAAGAGTGGTGTATCTATGTATGTACTTCATTTATAATTCGGTGTAGGAATTTTTCTCTTTTCCTTCACTTATTTACTTACTCAGTCTTACTTGTGTAGGTCTGAGCTCACAGAAACATTTTATATTTTTTATGTTGGGGGTTGTAATCCAGTCCCACTTTGCTTTGTTGATAATATTCTTTAAAAATTTTTTTTAATGTATTTAGTACAGGGTCTACAGGGTCTCACTACACAGATCAGACTCATAGGGATCCTCCTGTTTGCAGCCTCCCAAACACTGTGATTACAGGCTTGTACCACCACACCCAGTCTCAGTTGCACTCAGTCTCAGTGTGCCCTGGGGGTGGGGCCAACACAGCTTGCTGGGGATTGAACCCCTGGCCCCTGGGTCTGCCTAAGCAGGCACTTTAATCCACTGAGCTGTCTGGCCAGCCCTTGTTGATCGCATTCTTATGCATGGCTTCTGTATCCCTGTAATGTACCACCACAAATGTGAGGCGTTGTCCTTCATCAGTTGTTTACTTTATCTGGGGCTCTAGGAGGCTGCAGGCTTATCTTGTGCAGATCCTGCTCCAGTCCTACGATCAGCTCTTTCTCTGAGGAATCTGGCTCCTTTTGCTGGGAACTGGTATTAGAAACCAAGACCTGGGTGTGAAGAGTACCTGTTGCTACTGAAGTGGAAGTGTTGCTTCCGGGCTGTCATTTGGAAAAGCAGGAGATGCTGGGTTTGGTCGCACGTCCGGCTGTGAGCATAACTAGACATATTTCTATATACGTGAAAGTTTAAAATTATTACAGTAAAAGACACATTGCTGTGAATCATCCACACAATACTCCCGTTTTGCTTTGAATGTAGTCACCCCACTGTTCTGACCACTTTCTGAAGCAATTCTGGAAGCCCTCTTTGGTTGTGCTGTTACGGCTGCCTTGATGTTCTGAGTTGATTCAGAAAATTTCTCTTTCATGGCCATTTGGCTATGGGGGAAAGAACCAGAAGTCATGTGGTATGGGAGCCACTGAAGAGCTTGGATGTGGACACAGTGCAGTGTTTCCGTGAGCCTGACTTTCTGTCGCAGTGGCAGCAATCACCGTTTTTTTTTTTTTTTTTTTTTTTTTTTTTTGTGTGTGTGTGTGTGTGTGTGGAACTGGGGATTGAACTCAGGCCCTTGCACTTGCCAGGCAAGCACTTATTCTACTGAGCTAACTCCCCAGCCCCTGTATTTTGTATTTTTGATCCTACTGAGTAAAGACACTGATGAAAGACAACTTCTGCAACTGCTTCAGGAAGTGACAAGAATGTTGGGATAAGCGGGTGAAAGCAAGGAGGAGCACGCTCAAGGGCACTGATGGCAGTGTCTTTTGCTGTAATATTTTTCATCAACTTAAACATTCACCGTATGCTTTTATCACCCCTTGCGTGCGTACACAGTTCTGTATAGCTGTGCGTATCCGCATTAACCTCAGTATAAGTTCAGGCTGATGTCTTTACGTAATCTAGTGCGATACACGTCATCCAGTCTTCTGTTTACCCGTAAGCTCACTTCAATAGTGAAACAAAATCTGGCTCCCACCATGTATCATCCATTTGCTTACTTATTCGTTTCTCTTAACAGAAGTTCAACAGTAATGGAAACTCACAGAGAACAATTTTCTCGACCGGAGTGAAGTACTTCTGCGCAGTTCTTTTTGCGTTTAATTTCATAATCCCCGCAGCTTCCCAAAGGTAGTTGGCTAGGCATCTTTTCCTTCTGTCCTCTTTTAGTGAGATTATTGCACACATTTTGTTTATAAATTGTTGAGACAGTGTCCTGCCATGTGGTTCAGGCAGGTCTTGAACACACTACATAGCCTAGGCTGGCCTTGAGTTCTTGGCAGTCCTCCTGCCTCAGCCTCCTGAGTGCTGGGATTGCAGGCTTGTGCTACCGCATCTGGCAGTATGAACACATGGAAATCTTCTGTGCTCTGTCTAAAACACACTTCACCCTCACCCCATAAAAATCAATGAATTTTTAAATTGTCTCTTTAGTTTTCTCGCCCCCGGATGTCGTATGGTTGAAAGCATGCAGCCTTGCCAGGCAGGCCTCTTTGCTCGGTAGTGTGCATTCAAGGGTCATCGCTATCCTCTGGGGCTTGAGAGGTCGTGTCTGTGTGCATTACAGTTTTACCCTGAGTGATGTATCATAGTTTATTCATCTGTTGATGGATATTTTAATTCTGTTTTTGATAACTATGAATATGCTCTGATGAACATTCCTGTGCAGGCTTCTGGGTAGAAATACGTTTTCAAATCAGTTAGCAAACACTAGGAGTAAGACTGCAAATACTTTTGTTAAAATTATGGTTAACTTTGTGAAAAAAAATGCCAGGCTGTTTTCCAAAGTGACCTGTATCATTTTACAGTCACACCAGTGAGATAGGAGATTTCCTCTTGTTCGCATCCTTGGTAGTGTTTATTTTGTCAGTTTTTCAGATTTTATTGACTTTTACAGGTGCGCAGCAAGACTGTATCTCACTGTGATTTTCACTCCCCGATGGTATGTCCTGAGCCTCTTTTCACAGGTTTATGTTATCTTCCATGGTAACATGTCTCTTCAGATCAGCTGCTCAACTTTTCACGAGATTGTTTTCTTATGGTCAAGTTTTTAAATAAAAATGTTCTGTTTTTCAGTGTTAGGGAACAAACCCATGTCCTTGTTCATGCTAAGCGTATACTCTATCAATGAGATACATCCTCTGTGTCTTAAGAGTTTTTTTTAAAAAATACACTTTATATATAAGCACTTCTTTTTTAAGCAAGGAACTGAACTCGAGACCTTGCACTTGCCAGGCAGGTGCTTGTGCCTCTGAGCCATATTCCCCAGCCCGTACTTTTAAAAAATATATTTTGTAAATATTTCCACCAGGACTAGCTTGCCTTTTGATTCTTTTAACAGCATCATTGGCACAGATGCTTTTAATTTTGATAAGGCAAACTCATCAATTTGATTATGATCTGGTGTCATATTTAACACCCTTGCCAAGCCCAGGGCCACCTGTCCTTTATCCTGTTTACTTATTTATTTTTGATTCTTCAGTAAAGACAGCAGAAGAGATGACTTATTGTGTATGCAGTGCACACATCTGAGAACCTAACTAGTCCAGATTGTCACAGGAAAGAACAAAGATACTGTGATATGGGTAGGGCAGCTCTATCTGAAGTGGTTGCAAATTGGCATGGTCCAAATCAGCCCTGTTGAACGTGTGTCCTGTGTTCCACAAGACCATACACTTTTAGTATTATTGTGTGATCCCTTAGAAAGACCATATGGGGTTGAACCCAGGGCCTTTGCACTGAGCTGCACCCTAAACCCTTACTTGTTGCTTGTAGTCAGTCTCGCTCTGTTGCTAAGCTGCCCAGGCTAGGCTTGAACTTGTAACCCACCTTCTTCAGCCTCCCATAGTGCTGGGATCAAAGGTGTGTACCACCATACCTGGCTGTTTGCAGTGCTACTTCTCGTGACTGGCTTGTGCCATACTCCAGCATGGCCTGCGCAGGCAGCAGGGACTGCAGTGTACCAGACGGCACCATGCAATGTTCACTCTGTCTCCTGTGTGGGTCGCACACAGTCAGTCCATTTGAAACCAGCGGAAAGGAAAGCGTTACATGCCTTTGGCAACTTGGCAGGCAGAACTCAGAGATTACTGATAATGGTATTTGAACCTGCCTGCACCTGTGTGTACCTGGGAAGCCAGGCACTGCTTGTTAAGCAGACATGTAAGTTTTCTTATTTAATTAGGGAACTTGACCTTATTATGTTATTTCATAAAATAATTTACTGTATTAAAATATTAACCAAGAAAGTTTTATTAATTTCATGTGCATATATGTATGTATGTCTATATTCTGTGTGTTGTATGTGACCCAAGATAATTCCTCTTTGCTCAGGTGGCTCAGGCAGTGCATAAGCTTGGGCATTCATGGTTGGCCTAGATCCACTGAGAAAAAAATCCTAGACAGTAGCATACAGTCCAATAACTTGTAAAGTTATGAAGCTTTGAATTTCGAATTTAGGTTTGTGATCCACTTAGAGTTAATTTTCTTTTTCAAAAAAAGATATAAGATCTGGGTCTACTTTGATTTTTTTTTGTGTGTGTGTGGATGTCTAATTGGATTAGCACAAGTAAATGTGGCTATACTAGTAAAAATGAATGTACTAATAGATTACAGATTAGGATCAGCATTAAAAGGAAAAAAATTTATTTTTAATGTGTTTTCCAGAATTGTTTATATAGAAATAGTTGAGAAATGACTCAGAAATTGAAATTTAACATAATACATATTCTATACTGATATAGTTCTCGGACACTGTATGGGAGTCATTTCCCTGTGTCTCATTCAGAGATTCTTCTATATAACAATGGTGTCTTTGGCATACAGCAACAGCTTTCGGTTCTTACCATAGGAAGCAGTAAAGTAGGATTGTTTTCCACCAAGAGGATCTAGACAGTGGTGGTGAACCCAAGGCACATGCGCCTCAGTGGGCGCCTGGAACCCTTCTTCACCCCACCATTGCTCCGGCCGCCAAGCCTTGAGGTTTCATTGCAGTATTGATACTTTGCAGTAAATAAGTGATTTTTGGGGTTGCTATGTGGGCTCCTGGGCTCTAAAAGCTTCACCATTATTGATCTGGAGCAAGAGACTTGTAGGATGTGTGTTGGGAAGAGGTAGATAATGCCCACAATATCTAAAGCCCCAAAACTTAACCGTAGTGTCTGGTCTAGAATAGAGTCCCATACCTCTTCTGTCACAAGTGGCTTTTTTTCAAGTACTTTTCTTTTTTTATTTATTCTTTTTTTAAAATAATTTTATTGATAAATAAATAGCAATGAGACAGTTTCAAATCAAATCGCTAGGACAGTTTCAATAATTAACACACTACATACATTCTCCTTAGTGGTTAATTGCTGTACAAGATGCGGACTTGATATCCTATTTACAAACACCATTAGAACAAATCATTCTATTCATTAAGAGAATGTAACTATATATCTATCCTAACCACTCTGAATACACAGATACAAAATGGACATTCATCTGTATCCCCTTTTTTGGTTAAGTTCCATTATTTGAATATTAGAGGTGTGTAAACTCAGCAAAATATTCTAAAAGAGTCCAGTAGCCCATAATAGTATTGGGTCTTCCGCTTAACTTGCAATGTCACAAATTGATGACCTGAGTCCCCCACAGCTCAACATAATAGCATGGCTTTACTTCCTATATTTCGTCTTCATACTTTTCTACTGGATGGTTAAGACCAAGGTAAAGCAGGACCTATGCAACAAGAGTTGTAGCTTTTAGGTCTGATAAGGTCAGTGAAATCCCCTCAGGATTTATCCTGAGATCCTGTACCTCAGATTGTAGAACCTTTGTCAGTGTCAGCCATGTGGATGAGTCACGGCCATTGCTTGGCCAATGTGCTCTAAGTACTTTTCTTTTACCAAATATTTTTGTTATTGACATTGGAAACACAAGTACTTATATTGTTCCTTGAGAGAACCAGTAGCCTTCATGAAGCATCTAGAGAGGCTTGTGAGTATCCAGGGTACTAAATCCATGATGTCCTTTAATTCTTCCTACAACTCCTTCAGATCAGTGTCTTTATCTCCATAAAGGAGATCATAGGCTCTGCATGACAAAGGAACTTGCGCATGGTTGATAGTGTTGGGATGGGAACCCTGATGTACCCCCAAATCTCCCTTCTTTACACTTGGCTGTGCTGCCTTTCACAAAAGAAAAAGCATTCGGAGAGTCTTAGGTGCCCTTGATTAATTGTGTGTGTGTGTGTGTGTGTGTGTGTGTGTGTGTGTTTGAGACAGGGTCACATTATGCAGTTCAGGCTGGCCTTGAGCCCACTTTATAGCCCAGAATGCTCTCAAACTCACAATGATCCTCCTGCCTCAGCCTCCTGAGTGCTGGGATTACAGGCATGTGCCACCACTCTCTTTTAATCCTTTTTTTTTTTTTTTTTTTTGGAAACCAGAGATTGAACTCAGGCCCTTGTGCTTGCCAGGGAAACTCTTCCTCCACTGGTTTAGCAGAGTAGACACTGAAGATCGGTTCTTGCTGACTGATTTATACTCCACTGACTTAGAGGTGTGTGTTACTGAAGTATGTTTATAAAGAATGAGATTCTTTTAAAGAGGTGATTATGGGGGATTAGGAAAAATGAAATAGTTAATGGTACTACTATTAGCTATTTGCCCTTTTTTTTTCTTTTTAATGTATTTTGTATAGGATCTCACTATGAAGATCAGACTTATAGTAATTCTCCTGTTTTCAGCCTCCCAAGCACTGGGATTACAGGCATGCACCACCATGCCCAGTCTCAATCGCTGTCTCAGCACTCCCCAAGGGTGGGGCCGGCACCTCAGGGATTGAACCCTGGCCTCTGCGCTCTGCCTAAGCAGGTTCTTTAGTCTGCTGAGCTATCTGGCCAGCCCTATTTGCCCTTTCTTCCACTGAATTTTAAGTTTCTTGGGGCAGGGAACCGAGTCTAAGTTATCTTGAAACTCCCTGTGGTGCACATGGTGATGCATGACACATCACATGTGATACACCTGGTCGAATAAAATTAGCACTCGGGAACCTACTTTTTACAGACTAGATATCTGAAGGTTAAACATCATTGCATTTCACTTGTTTATTCACTCTTCCTTGATTGAGCATTTGTTGAGCATCTGTTGTGTGCCAGACACTGGAAATACTGTCTGAGGGTGAATAAAACAGGATGTCTTGGCTGGCTGGTGTGTGATCCCAGCACTCGTGAGGCTGAAGTGGGAAGGTCACTATGAATGTGAGGTTGAGGGAGAACTTGTCTGAAAGACAAGAAGGAAGACAGGCTCTCTGCCCTCTGTTATTAGGAGACTCATGTAGTGGAGGGAGCCAGGTGACAGGTGACCGTTTCAGTGCTAAGTACAGCCTGAGGAAGTGTGTATTAAAAACAAACAATGGACTTTGGAACCAGAGAACCTGTATCTGCCTTCTTGACACAGTTGCTGGGGTGGGGGAAGAGTTCAGTGAAAGTGTGTGTGTATGTTTATGGTTTTCTTTTCTTTCTTTCTTTTCTTTTTTTTTTTTTTTTTTTTTGGCGGTACTGGAGATTGAACTCATGACCTTGAACTTGCCAGGCAAGCACTTATTCTACTGAGCTGTCTCCCCAGCTCTGTGGTTTTCTTGTAGTACAAAGTTTACAAAAAGAGAAGTTCATGGTGTCTGAGAAGTTGGAGATTTTGAGGCCCACAGTGGAGCATGAGGCTGGACTCAGCATCTGGCAAGTATTGAATGGGTTGGAACCATGGGAGAGGAGGAGATTTGTTTGGGTATTCCCACACTCACAGCTCACAGGCAGCTGAAGAACCGGATATTTTTCATTTTCATAAGTGACAGAACAATAGACTATTCATGATTTCAAGGGAGGAAAGAATAAAGATACCAGACCTGCTGGAGGACTGTGGAAATCGCTTCAATCATATGGCTTTCTGAATGCAACCCTTTCTGTTAGGTATGCTCTTCTGCATGTTTGGAGTCGTGTGACACTTATGTGGTTGAACAGGACTTCAGTAGAACTGGCATATTTTTGGTGAAATTGGAGGACCTGTGTCAAACCACTCATATATTTAATAGCACAGCAATCTAAGAGTGCTTAGATCTACTTCAGTCTAGAATCCCAGGCCTTAAAAAAAGATTCTTTTTTTTTTTTTTAATGTATTTGGTTGTTGCAGGGTCTCACTACGCAGCTCAGACTCATGGTGATTCTCTTGTTTTCAGCCTGCCCAGTGCTGGGATTACAGGAGTGCTCCATGGGGTAGCTGGCTCAGCCCACCCTGGCGGTGGAGCTGTTGTGGCATGTGGTGCCAGGAATCGAACCATGGTCCCCCTGCTTCACCTTAGCAGGTGCTTTAGTCCACTGAGCTATCTCACTGGTCCCTTCAAACAGATTCTGAATAGAATCTTAAACCACAGTACTTAAGAATGCACTGAAATGATTTGTTAAATGAACTGTAGCTTGACAGGAGGTCAGAGTCCTAGACTTGAAAAGTTACTTTTAAGACACAGGAGGAAGGAAACAGGAAAGAAAAATGGAGATGAAAAAAATGGAGATAGATAGAAGAAAGGTTTGAACATGAAGACGGAAAAACCTTTTTACTGAAGGCGGTTGGATTCCATTTTATTCAGAAAATCTTGTTTTAGTAGCATTAGAATGTTGTCTCCCTAAATTATTCCCTGTATCTTGAGCTTAGTGTATATCTACTAGGGTGTTTATTGGTTTACTGCAACCATCAAACGGATCTAATGTATGGAGTATGTTTGTGATAATTAAACACTGTAATTTCATCTTGCTCCTTCTAATATTTGTAATGATAATTGCTTGTAATCTCCTTCATTAGAAGTTAAAACGTTGAGAAAAGTGTTATGTGGCAAAGTAAAGCTGAAAGAAAGCCAAGTGTAAATCCCGTCCCTTTTGAAAAAACAATATAATTTATCTCATTTTCTGTACTGATTTCGGGTTTTTACACACAAATGTACAGTAAGGTAGTTTTAATATTTAAAGACAGGTATACTGTGATGATGGAGAAGAAGATATGCCTCGCTGCTTAGATAGTGAATGTCAAATTAAAAAACCCCTCTGCTTTGCTTGCTTTTTGGGAGGTGACCTAGATTTCTTGAAATGCAGTTTATAACTTTGAGTATTAATGACTTCTTTATATCAGCACACACAGCTCTGTATTTGGTTGTTTCTTTCATATCAAAAAGAAAAGAGTACACTACTTTATCTCTGCAGACTTCCTCTTCCCATAAAAGGATGCTCAGCTTGGGTCTGTGTGCGTGTAAACCTACTATTTGTCTTTCTACTGTTTTCAGATCTTTAACCGTCTTATAACAAACTGTATATTTGGGAGATGTAAAATATTAATTTTGTTGGTAGTCTCTCCTTTTGCTTTCTTGTGGAGCCTTGTGAAATCCTAAATAATTGAAAGCAGTAGATTTTTTTTTTTTGTGATAAAAATCTGGCCACTGGGCCAATACTTGTGGCATTATTCTCACAATACCCATGTGAAGGTGTGGGATTCGTGTGCATGCCCAAAGGATATGTTAGATTATTTTTACCTACTGAGAAAAATAACCCTCTAAGAATTTTAGTGTGCATTATTTCCTAGATTGCTTAAAGTACTAAGCACTTCTATTTTAAAATAAATAATCCAAGATAGGCAAAGCTGAACAATAATGTATAGAGAATAATAAAAGCACAATAGCTTAGTCAAGCAGCGTGGCGGGTCTGGGACATCAACACTTTAAAGCTGAAGCAGGGGAACACTTGAGCTCAGATGTTGAAGACCAACCTGGGAAGCCCAGTGAGACCCTATGTTGAAAAAATTATCTCCCTCCCTCCTTGTCTCCCTCCTGCCTTGCCTCCCTCTATGCTGACAATTAAATATAGGGATAATCGGGTATTTATATTTTACATATTAGTATGTTTGCTGTTTTGTAACATTACAGAATCAGTTGTTTAAAGCCTCTTTCCTACTAAGTTCTTTTCACTTTTCATGTTTCTTTTCTAAAACAAATTTCAGTGCTAGTTACCACAATGTCTTTGTACTGGCCACATTTCCGTTTCTCAGCTTTATCTTAACTTTGCTCCTTTTGGTAGTGACATGAAGAAAATAGTCTTATAAAATTCCTCAAGCAGGTAAGTAGTCATGTGGGCTTCTCCTTCAGCGCAGGTCACTCCTCTCCACCTTCCTTGTCCTCTGGCCCAGTGTCTAGCAGCCTTATTCAGTCCTCAAATGACTTCAATTGAAAAGTGTATCTTTCCTAACTTTGATGTCTTTCCAGTTAGTACTATTGCGACTCTTTCTCACTCTCCAGGGAGATGCCAGCCATGGCGAGGGAAATCTCAATAAAAGAAACGTTCATTGTAGTTATGATAGTGAAGGTCGAGCGTAGGGGGTTTGAAACAAAGGAGTACTTGAAGCCCTTAACACCCTCCATCTTGTCTGGGTACAATGTACTTTGAAAATGGTAAGATTACATTATAAAGTTCATGAAATCTTTTTTTGGTGCTAGGAATCGAACTCCAGACCTTGTGCTTGCCAGGCAGGAGCTTATGCCGCTGAGCTATCTCCCCTGCTTGTTCATGAAATCTTGTCATAGTCAACATAACAGTGCTTAAGTGTAATAGCATAGAGGACCCAGTCTCAAAATGAAGCCATTCAGTTTTTGTACTAATTAGAAAGATCCACTATAGTTTTATTTGTATTTCAGAATATATACATGCTGTTGATTTTTTAAAAAAGTTTTCCTATTGTTTTGTGGAAGTCCTTTATCACTATTGGGATCTTTAGACTTTGAATTGAAATATATCTCAAGCAAAGCTATATAAAAGAATTTTGCATGGTGTACTTATTCCATAACATCTGAACAAGAATCAAAGTCTCATCTTAACTCCAGGGCTTCCCTCCTCCACCAGTATCTGTTATCTATAGTTATTTCTGGTTTTTTCTCTGCCAGGCAGTTAATGGAATAGTTGAAGTATGATTTTGTAGCTGTCCCAGGGCTACAAGGTAGACGATCTGTTGATAAAGAGTAATTGAATACAATGGATCATTTACGTTTTGTGTTATATTTATGATTTTGAAAGGCATCAATGAGATCAACCTACTGTTATCCAGAAATACAACATTTTAAATAAGCTTTCAAACTGCTTAATAAAATGGAAAAAGAAATGCTGTTGGTAGAATCCAACAGAGAAATAGTTTACTGGTCTCAAGAGTAAAAACACTAACATTTCTCAAGAAGACATGAGCCATTTTTATTTTATTTAGTTTATTATTATTTTTTTCTGGCTGGCTCAGTCCACCCTGGGGGCAGGGCTGGTGTGGCATGTGGTGCTTGGGATCAAACCACCGTCCCTGCACTTGCCTAAGCTTACCTAAGCAGGTGCTTCAGACCTTTGAGCTATCTCGCCGGCTCCTCATGAGCCATTTCATCACTACTGTGTTGTTTGTGAGCTGTGTCTAAGGAACTTTGACTGTATGTTGTAAGAACCAACATATTCTTTGACATAAGAATATAGTAAATATTCAATAAATAAA